GCCCCCTGGCCCCGCCCCCACACCTCCCCAGGGGCCCCCCAGCCCCTCCCCACCCCCCCCACTCGGTCTGGCTCCCCAGAGGCCTCCACTCCCAGCATTTCCAGCTGGTCTCCCAGCATTTGCCTCCATATTTCGAAAATCATTAGCCCTGCTTTCTCATGACTTTTCAGTTTTGGACCATTATTGTTGACTTCCTCCTATGGAAAATAAAGGTTCTCTTACACCCCCTCACTCTTGTGGACACACACACACACACCACCAGATAGCCTACTGAGGCCGTTTTACTGCCCTGGGCAAACCGGAGTGAGCCTGGGTGCCCTGCAGGATGGAAAACAGAGTCTTGGCCTTTGGTTAAACATAGCAGATTTAACGCAAACATCTATGTAGCCTGCCCTCCCAGAACACCCGTGAAAACCACCTGCTGTGCGGATGGAGTGGAGAACCCGGGCTGGCCAGCCTGCAGCAGAGCAGGTTCAGGAGCAGAAGGCCCCTCGCTGGCTCTCTGAGCGGCAGAGAGAACGAACCAGCCGGGCGGCCTGTGAGGGGCCCCCAGAGCAGTGAGGGAAGCTCCAGGTCAAGGGGGTTGAGCTTTGTACGAAGCCATCTGAGGACAGGACAGGATGGCCGGGAAAGGGAGCAGTAGCCCTGACTAGCAATGGGCAAGCCAGGGTCAGCTGACCACGTGCTGGGGACAAGGAGGGATTCCTGCATGAGGAGGGAGCTGAGTCCTCGACTTTAAAGTCCCTTCACATTCTGGAACCCGATAATTTGCTTCCTTTGGTAACAGTTGGCAATTAGGGTCCAGTGGTGCTTTGCAATTGCTCTGGAGTTAATGACCGGAGCTGCCCCATAGGCACACCCATCTGGCGATTTCTTTTTAGGATCCCGAAATAACCAGCTCAAGTTCTGATGAGCAATCAGTCCCACTGACCCTTGCCTTGTAAAAGAAGGTTCAAAATTCCGGGAGGAATCATGACACGGCCGATGGGACAGCACGGCCGGTCCCGAGGGGCGGAAGCACTCTGAGGAGGGGTAAGAGCTGGACGGAGCGACTGCGGCCGCGGGTCGGGAGCCTCCCCGGCTTCCCCACGAGGGTTTCGGGTTTCGAAAGGGAGATTGAAGAAACACCCTCCCAACCCGCCCGCCCCGTCCCGCCCCCCGTGAAAGAGAAAGAGGGCAACTCGTTGGAACTGCGCCCCAACACCCGTGTCTAAAGGAGCGGTCGGAGCCCCCAGGGCTGTCCCCACAGTGCTCCCAGCCTCGGCACTTTTGAAAGAGATGTGCTTGCCCAGACGTGAGCCTGCTGGGACCTCCCGTGCTCTCCAAGCAGGGCAGGCTCCCCAGTTCTCCTGCGTAACTGGCAGTGTGGCGTAACTGGGCCGAGAGTGAAGGGAGGACCCGGGGTCACGGTTTGTGAGTGTGTGACTGGGGCTAGTCACCTCCCTCCCTCCCTGGAGGCAGGAGGACAGAGCAGTTACCAGTGAGCTCTGGAGCGAGACTCTCTGGGTTCGAATCCCAGCACAGCCACTGATGAGCCATATGACCCTGCCTTCTCTGAGCATCAGTGTCTTGTCTTCAAGAATTAAATCACTGCAGCTGAGAATTAAATTAGCTCATTTACCTGAAGTGCTTAGAGCAGTGCCTAATTCATGGAATGATTAGCATTAGGGTCATCAGCAACTGCAAACGGGACCCAGCACTTCTCCCACAGCTGACCTTAGAGCACAGGTGGCAAACACAAGGCTCTCAGGCCAAGTCCAGGCCTCCACCTTGTTTTACCAGAACCAGCACCTAGTTTCTACCCCGAGGCAGCACGGAGCTCCTTGCCCCTCGTTAAGGACTAGTTACGTGTACACAGTCCTACAATTACATTTGGCCTGCAAGGCAACTGCGAGGCTGATGTGGCCCCCGGTGAACACGAGCCCGACACCCCTGCCTTACAGGGTCGAACGGTGCACCCCACAGCAAAACTAAAGTCGAGTGTAAGTGGGAGGACTTGGGCCTGTGGCGCATCCAACCTCACCCACGAGGCCGGTGCCGCCCGACCCGTTAGGCTAACCTTGTGGCTACGATGCAACCGCCATGGGCACGGTCTTTAGAACTTTTTGCTAAGTTAGTTACTTAGCAAAATAAAATTAGTTATTTTATTTTGTAATTTACTGCAATAAAGCAAAGTCCATGGTCGAAGACACAATCTTTAAAAAGAGTGCCCACTGAGCACTTTAAGAAAAAGGTCACACCCAGGCCAAATTCAGAACACTGAGCACCACCTGGGATGAGCGGTCATCGTCGGAGGACGCGTCCCTGACTGGCTGTGGGGCCTCCGTCCCCCATCGGCCACACTGGGCAGACCATGATCTCTGGGCACCTTCGGGCCTGCACCCCGTGGGCCTACGGTTTGGAGATTCTTTTTGACCAACGGACTTGGCCTCAACTGCAGCGCGGTCCTGTTTCCTGCGGGGACAACACCCTCTGGTGTGCGTGTGTGAGAGCAAGACACTAGCCGCCAGCCAAGCAGGAGCTTTCTTCTCTCCCCTGAATGTCTCGCTACTCAAAATACCGTCCTCAGACCAGCAGCGATGGTGCCAGACGGCAGCTTGTGAGAGACGCAGGGTCCCGAGCCCCGAGCTGGAGCTCCTGAAGCCGAATCCGCCTTTTAAACAAAACGCCAGGTGATTCCACACACGTGAGAGTGTGAAAAGCATTACGCCAGTCTGAGAAAAAGGAAGGTAGTCGGTGCAGAAAATTTAAGTTTTAATATGCACTCAAGCCATAAATAAATCTGGGATTGAGCCATATAAATAAAACAAATCATCCCCAACTAACACACAGGAAGCTTTACACACGTTTTCAAAAAGGAATCCTCTCAAATGGTAAGTGGGCGTCTGATGACAGGCACGGGCACCCCTGAACCTGAGTTTCAAAGGCACCTGCAGTTGTCATAATGATCGCACTGATGACCAGAACTGAGGGCCGGTTCACACCTTCCCGTGGGCAGGTGGGGTCCTGCCAGGCTCGGCCCCCTCACCCATCAGTGAGGGGAAAGCTTCAAAATATTGCAAATTGCCTCCCAGTCTCTGAAAATATTTCCCTTGACACCCCCAAAATATTATTTTTATTGTTTTTTTCCCCCACTCTAAAAATTACTGCAAATACAATATGCTGACGTCAGGAGTCAGACCGGCCACTTCCCACGCACAGGTGTCACCGTGATGCTCAGCCAACGCCCACAGAAGCGCACCTGCGGCCTCCCCGCACACACGCAGCAGAGATTCGGTCGGCCTTCACCTTTTGTCTGCCTGAACCATCTTCCCACACCGGGGAGGGGATGACCCCCCATCTTGGAGCTCGGCCTGGCAGCGCAGAAAGGGCGGGAGGAGGCAGGACAGGCTGGGCAGGCACCTCGCCTGCTTTACAGGTCACCTGCAGGGGACTGGGGGGGACCACGGCCCTGCTGCACGTTTACGAGGGAACCGCGCTGTGCCGGAGGGTCCAGACGATGTGCCTGTCTGCTCAGGAACTACTTAATCCCATAAACACAAAATCACTAAATTATTTAATATTTATTTTTGAATAAACACCTACCAAAGTTAGCAGTGTCGTATCTTATAAAGTGCATTTGTGAAAACAAATTTAACAAACCCACACTCTATGTCAGGTACGAGGCCAAGCCGTCACCTTGCTCTGTTTATCCTAACACCATATTTTGCCGTGTATAATGCATTTTTTTTGCCCAAATTTTTGAGGGAAAAGGATGCACATTGTACATGGGTATTGCTGGACATAACTTGTATCTGTTCTCGTGCTTCATAATTATTTGTTACATAAACTTTCCTGTACTATAACATATTCAAAAATAAATGCTGAAATTCCTTTATAATATAAAAAACAAGTATCTAAATATAAATAAATACATAATTGAATTAAAAGTTAAAACTTTTTCCTGAGAGCTTGGGTCAGAAACACAGATGTGCATTACACACAGGAGCACACTGTACCCGGCAAAACACGGCACCTGTCCCGCAAGCTTGGCTTCATTATTCCCATTCTGCAGATGAAGAAGCTGAAGTTCAGAGTGGTGGAAATACCGCAGACTGACCCAAGCCAGACCGGCTGGGGTTTTTCCTGGGTAATTATGAACAGGGACCCTCTAAGAGGGGAATGTGCATAATGAGGGGCCCAAGAGCCTGAGACACAAGTTGAGAGTTTTTTAATCTACTGCGCGTGTGTCTTCACTGCTCACACCTGGCTGGCTGTGAACACAAAGACCCGCAGCGCCCTCCCCCATGCATTTAAATCGCTTACACCGACTTCATCACCCTGACAAGATCTCAGGAGAGGATGTGGGATCTCCCGCAAACCGGAATCGCTGAGAAACCTGCACAGCTGCTGCTGCCGAGGCAAAAAACGATTTAAATGACCAGATATTATTAACGAACAAACTTGAGACTGGAGCTTCGCAGAGACCATTAAATTTCTCCCTGACATGAATGTGTGATAAACACTAAAAATGACATAAAAAACGTTTTCAAGCCCCCGTGGTAACTACCAAAAGCAGCCCACCGCACCAACACACCACCAGGAGGTGGAGTGGAAGCACGCTCCGTGCGGTGGGCGTCTGTATTGGTGTAATCGGTGTAACCGGTGTACACCGGCACTGAGTTGCTCCTTTGAGCTCTGCGCTTTGACGGGTTTTCTCTGGCCAACACAAATTTTAACTGCAGGTTTGACCAAGGCAGCAACGTGGAATCAAATCACACTTTATTAAACAAACCTGGGTTATCTCGGCGACCTGAAGGAACCGGCACGGCACTCCCGCCATCCATCAGTCCACAGGGAGAAAAGTCTGAGGCATCCGAGGCATCACCAGTTTAATCCAAGTACGCGACCAAGAGTCTAACGTCCACACACGCAAACACCTTTGTGCTGGAAAACCTTGCAGAAAACATGTACTTTTCTGCTGGGGAGAATTAAAATACACGACAGTAGAAGACTACCTCTTGATAGAAAAATAGTTGAAGGTTTTTAATTCTCTGACAACCAAACGTTAACATTTTGTGATCCTGTGAAAAATAGAGTATTTGGGAACAATTTTAAAGTTTTCAGAATCAGTACAAAGCTCACTGACACCCTCACCACGCCCGCATCCCCTTCACACATTGCACAGTGATTTCCCTGTGAAAACAGGGCAGCCCGGTTTCAGTGGGTCTGCCCCTGCACGTAGCTGAGTCTCCGCTGCGCTGAATCCAGGGGCCCCCCATCTCCTCTGCTGGTCTCCTGGGTACAGTGACACTCTATGACACGCGTTCTTTAAAGAACCATTTCTGATGCTCCGAGTTGGCACAGTCCCGTAGGAGCGGCACAAAACCGTCGCCGACAGCCATCCTCTCGGCCTGAACACATTTTCTGGATTGCATGTGAAGTAAAGTGCCATCCTGCAAAAGATAACAGACACTGCTTGGTCAAGAGAATTACAGGCCATCCCTCGGCAAGTCTCTTTCTCCTTAACCTGTGTTCTTAAGGGCCCAGGGTGACTTTATCATTTCAGAATTATTGGCTGAGCAGGGTCTGCAGGTTGGAAGGCCATCCAGGACTGTCAGGGGCACAGAGAGGGCCAATGGTGCCACCTGCTGGCTGCTCTAGGGATCGTCGGACACTGTCTCATCCCCACTGCTTTTCCTTTAGGGAAGCCAAGACCAAAGACCCTTTATGAATCTCTTCCACTTAGGTCAGTTAATTTCATCCCTGGGGATCTCTCTCTGATGTATTAAAATGGAGAGTCAGGAAAATTGGCTTCAGTCCCAGCTCAGCTACAGACCAGCAAGTCACCAGAGCGGAAGTGGGTTCCAAGACCCTGCCAATTCCCAAACTCCGAAAGGCCACGATCCTCTTTAATGCCGCCCCCCTTCTCCTCTTTCCCCAAACTGTGCTGAGTTAACCGCAGCAGCCCCTCCCCCAGCCCTGGAGTTTCTCTTTGGCTCCTCTCCCAACTCCCTCTGTTGAAAGCTGCAGGGCGCCCCAAGGAACTCAATCGTGGTCCAGCCACGCATGGGCAGAACAGCGGCCTCCCCATTCCAGGGTGAGAAGTGACCTGAGAAATAAAATTTGTTGCGAAATAGTCTCCCAGGGTTAACCCTGAAAACCCTAAAAAGTGCTCTCAAGTTGCCCTCAGAATAATGTGAAGGTAAACCCAGGCCTTCCTCACTTTCCTGTGCTTCGCTTTACCACACTTTGCAGATAATATATTTTTACAAATTGAAGGCAAGAGCCTCCGCCAGCAAAAAAATCACGACTTACTGAAGGCTCAGGGGACAGTTGGCATCTTTTGGCAATGAAGTATTTGTAAAACTATGGTATGGACATTGTCTTTTAGACATAATGCTACCGCACACTTAATATAGGGTAAACATCACTTTTACAGGCACTGAGAAAACAGAAAATTAACATGACTCCCCGCCTTGCAAAACTGGCTTTATCGTGGTGATCTGGAACAGGACCTGCAACATCTCTGAGACTTGCCTGTAACTAAACAAAGCAGCCCTCCTCCCAGCCTTCTGAAGAGACGGACTTTTCCTGAAATGGTCACTGAAATTTAAGATAAAATTTTAATGACATTTCAAACCAATTTTATCATCTCTATCTTGCATTGCTATTCTTTGAGGGCTTAGAATGGCTTCCAGTAGAAAGAAAGAAGGGAGAGTTCAAACTGGGGGGTCACAGACATTGGGGTTTGCAGAAATACTTCCCTCATTTTTTTACACAAAATAGACAATACTAACTACGGTACACGGCTTTTCCAAGGAGCCTGCAAATTACGTTGCTAATCATAACATTTCCTACAGGAAACCACACTCCAACTTCTATTCATTCTTGGAATTAACCTATTTATAAGCAGTCACAATAAATCTTTCCACCCCTGGGGCCAGGCTGGGAATGACAACTTCCCATAGAGATAAAAGAGAACTAATTTTCTTCTTTCGAATTACTTTCTTTGGCTTTATTTCTTCAAGTACTTTTTTGTGAGTCAAAGGATATGACGGATTTATGAGTCGCATCCCAGGCTCACCGCGAATAGGGTGGCGCTCGCAGCCTCCATGCCTGAACTAACACGCAGTCCCTTCTCGGTGACTATCCTGATGGACAGCCACCTCCCTCCGAGAGATCTTGTTGACTCCACTGCAAGTAACAAATCCTCTCGATAGAGCTCCCCAGCTTCCACTGAACATATACATTCCAGGCCATTCATCAAATCCTCACTACAGTTAAGACGAGGCTGCTCTGCCCGCCCCTGTTTTAGAGCCAGGAAAAAGGAGGCTGAGAGAAGTGCAGCGACTTCTACCTGGATCTAACCCACCATCCTCACACGCTGGCGACTGGTTTTGCTTGTTTAAACCCCGTTGCATCTCAGAACATGTCTGTGACAGGTCCTCTTCCCATTTCAGCTGCTGCAGCTCAAGGTGGAGGCAGATGGAGAGACTGGGGGGAGTCCACAGTGAAGGGAGAGGGAAAGCACAGCTGACACCGGACACTGGGACTCTAACCGTGGGGCCACGGGCTCAGGGTGGCTGTGACACTCCCGGTCTCCTACACGGACTCACCAGGACTGCCCCGGAGAGCGGACCTGACCTCTACGTTTCCCTCTGCCACCCACAGACGGCAGCAAGGATGGAGGAGACAGCTCACTCACCCCCTGCAGGATGAACTTCTGGTCCTCCGGGGCCCGTTCCTCGCAGAGATGCATGACCAGAGTGTCTGCTCCTGCCTCCACGGCTATGCAGGCCTCCGGCTGGCGGGTGTTGTAGCGAATTTCATTCTGGGACGTATACTCAAAAAACTAAAATCAGAGAAGCCACCAGGCATCAGTCACCCTCTGAGGGGGAAAGCGGAGAACTGCTGGATGAGAGCTGGGGGTCACAAGAGTGTGGGAGTCAGGGTCCCCCACTCTCCCCTCACCCAGGAACACGAGCCTGTCTGATCAGTCAGCCTCCTGCGTGTCCCCTGGCACTCCACGCAGCCCAGTGTGGTGCTCACCAAGTGGGGATGGAGGGGCCCTTTGTCAGGTCTGACTTGCAGGTGCCTGGGCTCCTCACGCCCCCAGAGCCTAAGCCCACCCTGTGCCAGTGCTGACTAGCGGGGAAGAAAATGCACAGCTGCCCAGTGCGGGCACCTCTCCTTTTCTTCAGTCCTTTCGGCCTCCCCCCTCCGAAGAACAACAAGTGCGACCGGGCCTTGGAAACTGTACAGTGCTGTGCTCAAGCAGACAATGGGACTGCTGATGGGAGGGCTGGGCTCTTCAGGGCAATGATCTCCTCTAGTGTGACCAGGAAAATGCTGATTCCGACCCGCCCAGGGTGGGATGTGGACTCCTTCAGTCTGAGACCCCAGGGGGCTATGTTTTCACATTTTTAACCAGACACTCAGCTGCCCACCCACACCGCCCACTGCCTCCCTTCCAGGAGGTTCTGACGCAGGTGGCTGGCTCTTCTCCAGTCTCACGGAGCAGTGCCTCTCAGAGGACACTCCCAGGAAGCTGGCTGAAACAACAGACTGGGACTCCAGAGGGGCGGGCCTAAGAATCTGCATTTCTAAGCTCTTGGGTGATGCTGCTGTCACCTCTGGGAGGACCGCCGTTGAGGAGCACTGTTCTAAAAAGCGCTGGAGAACCTGAGTAACTTAAGGCTGTCGGGGTCTGAGTTATGAAAGTTGGCTATGGACCCCAAGGGGGCTTCACATTCAAGTGGAATTGTGGGAGTCCCGGGTTGGAAGAAAACCTGAATCCCCACTTTTTCATCTCTAGTGTCTGATACCACCTAGGACAGTCAGGCTTTGAAGGTCCGGAACCAACCCTCCCCTCCTCTCCTGACCCCTCCGCCGGCCCCGCCCTGGTGGGTCCGTCTGCTTTCCTGGGCTGGGGTCCGGTTCTGGTCCTCAGACCATCCAGGCCTTGCCCCCATGCCCACCCTGGAGGACAGCACTTAACAAATCCGCCCAGGGCCCCCGCCGAGGTAACCAGTGGAGCCCTGATCTGCAGTGTGGCATCTCCTTCAAAACCTAGGACTGCGGTGAAGAATCGATTCGAAGGAGGCCATCCCAAATCCGGATCTGTTGTTTGTTTCCTTTCTTTTTTTTCCCCTAACCAAAGGTGTTAGCAGCAGGGTTACTGACATGCACAAAAACAGGGAGGCAGGGACTCGGTTACTGAACAGTAACATAACCACACAAAGGTACAAGTGGCCATTAGGAATGACATTCTCACAGGATGTCTAGTAATACAAGCAAAGTAGGATGAAGTAAATGGCAACATGGAAGAGAAAACACACAGACGTTGGATAACAAGCATTTAAAGCACGTATCCGAAGGCCGTGCGTGGAAACCAACATGGGAAGCAAGCATGTCTTAATTGTAACGGTGGCTGCTTTGGGTGCTGTCCTTTGCTATTCACTTCTTCTTCTTAGATTTCCCAAATGTTCTGTAATGAGCATGTGTTACTTTTATAATAGAAAAAATAGCAAACATTAATTTTTAAAAACACGTTCACCGGCCCTCATTTTCCCCTCTCGGGGCCCACACCGATGACCCCCGGATCGAAGAACCTCCAGCAGCCCCCACACACACACCTGCCAGGCCCAGGGAACAGCACGCACCCACCTGGTTCTGCCCCATCCCGTGACACTGGTACAGGAGGACCTGGTGCCCCGTGAGGTCGTGCTCGCTGGGAGGGTTGTAGTCGAAGCAGTAACCTTTCAGTCCAGTGTTCTGGAGCTGAACAAAACACAAGGTGGCGTTTTGGTCCAGATTTGGACGCAATGACGGAGGTCACCCAAGGCTCCCAGGGAGCAAAATGGGGTGAGAGACGGGCCTGCCTCAGGACCTGGACTCCATGGCAAGGGCCCGTACATCTCTGGCTTTGAAAGTGCCTTCCTGCCCTACCCCATGGGCGGGAATCGCAACCCCCGCTCTCAGATGGGAAACCTGGGCATCAACGAGACCGACTGGTTAGGGCCTGAAAGCCCGATGCCTCCTCGCTGCTCGTGAGTGCAGCCTTATCACTGCGCTGGGCGGGACGCGGCTGGGATGTCGCCTCACAGGTACACCACAGAGCTCCTGCCACAGCGTCAGCAAAGGACACCCCTATCTAGAGGCTCAGCATTCCCCGGGTCACAAGTCCACCACTCTAGACTAGAATAGTGACAGCATAATACCAAAAGCCAGCGAGCTGCCCGGGGTACCTGGACAAGTGGGGATACCTGAGTCTCAAATCCAGGACTCTGACTCCAAGCCCGGTGCTCTCTGTCACTCCACACTGTCTAATCTAGTGTCATCTCTGACGTATCGCTTGGCTCTAAAACCCTTCAATAGCCGCAAGAGCAAAGCACCTCGGAAGCTCCGTGCTCCCTCCTCCCTTCCAAAGCCTCCAGGGGAAAACTCACATTGCTACCTGGTGCGTTCGGAGTACCCTCGATAGTCCCCCTGAACCCAACCGCTGCCCTGCCCTGTCCACTCTCCACCAGCCTGGCTCTGATGATAAGACTCGGTCGTACAGGAAGAAGGATGCTGCCGCCCACCAGCTCATAACGCACAGCCCTCCGCGTCCCTGAGATCCCTGTGCTTTGTGAAGGAACCTGGGAACAGGGCACGTCCCGGGGACCCTCCATGAACCCACTGACTGATCTTGTCACTAAAGGCGGGAGGACCAGGCATTTTGTGCTTCCTTTACGACACACGTAAAGACAAAGCACACCCATGAAGTGTCCTGGCCAAAAAGGTTTCGCCAACTCCCATCGAACCTTTAGACCTCACTCCCATCGTAAAGAATATGAAGGCAGAGAGGCACGATTTAAAAGTCATCACAAAGAAACAATCGGATAGTCCCAAGAGTAAGGCACTGTATGGGGCAACGAATGTGGTAGCAAAGGGGGGAGCAAAGGAGGGAAAGGGCTGCCTTCGATTAGCGAGACAGAGGAGAGGAGAGGCGGTGACCACACACGCCATGAGAGACAGAGGACAGGAGAGGCGGTGACCACACACGCCATGCAGGCCTTGTTGGGACCCCAAGGGAACGCACAGATAACCAAGAGAGACGTGAAAATCTGGGGACTCTGAACAGGGGCTGGACAGTAAATGATACCAAGAAATCATTGTTCCTTTGACCGGGGTGACAATGGCCTGTGGTTTTGTGGGAGGATATCCGAATTTCACCGCGATACGTGCTGAAAGGCACAGGAGTAAAACGACACAGTGTCCGGGGTTTGCTTGAAAAAGGGAACATGGGGGAGGGTGGAGCAGAGGAGAGGCAAAGCAAGAGAGGCCAAAGCTTGATAATTCTAGGACCTCGGGGGCAGGATTCAGTACGCCACTGGGTTTCCATACATTTGAACACTTTCACAGTAACGCTGAATTGGTGGGAAACCAAAGACTTTCCCAGAAACACCAGCACTTCTGGCCAAAAAGACACAGGAGGCCGCCCCTGCCGACTTGGTGCACTTTCGGATGATGGCCAGGAGCCGGCCTCATTCCAAAAGCACTCCTTTTAGGTTTTTGAAATAACAGAACTCTCCTTTCCTCACTGCTGGCTTTGGGGCTCCCTGAGTTGGAAACAAACTTGTCCAGCCACTGAGATTTGAGGTAAAGTTGTAAGGCGACAGTAAAAACCAGCACCTGGAAACACCCATGTTCCAGTTTACACTCGCCAATTTCAAGTTGGCTCCCAGGACTGACACTCTGGACCTGATCCCCAAACACTGGCAGGGAGAAGGAAGAACAGTGGATGAAAAGGGAGAGGAGTTTGGGATTGGGGGCGCCCGTGGTCCCCACTGAGAGGTCTTTCTTGCCCAGGGTTTGCTGACCGGACCTGGGGGCCTGGGACTCCCTGCCCAGCACGGGCCCGCCTTACTCACCATCCCGAAGAAGCCGGGCCTGTCTTCAGGCACGTGCAGTTCTGGGTACACGGTCTCCAAGAACCACTTGAAGTCCTTACACTGAAGCTTGGCACGGAGCTGCTTCCTCTCTGTCACATCCCCAAAGGGCTCCTGACAAAACGACGAAACAGTGAGCCCCTGCAGGTCATGGCACTTCTTAGCAAAGCCCTCTCTCCACTGTTGCTCACTCCTGCAATAAGCTTTTATGGAGCACCAAATGTGTGCCAGGCCCTGGGCAGGACCCAGAGTGCAAACGACAGCCTCAGACACAGTGGCAGCGCTCGGGCCGGTGAGACCGTCCCACAGTCACATTCCCAGGCGCTCTCGCGCAGGGAGGTGCAAGCAGGTCACGAGGGAAGGGTGTGGGGCGCCCGCTGATGGAATGAGGGATCCAGATGCCGGGGCTGTGCTGGACCTGTGGGCCTGCGCCCCATGGATGCACGCACGACCACAGACCAGCAAATGTCGGCAGCACAGCGCACAGGTACAATGACACTCTGATTTACTGCTGATGTCTGACACTCGCTTTCTAACACAGGTAAGTTTTCTAGACATGATGGTGCATGCAAACCTGATGTGCCCCACGTACTTAAGTCAAAATGTGCACTGACAACGTGAGAGCAAAACGCTGCAACAACGGAGATGAGCGGACATTCAGTGCTCTGGGCAGAGGGTGGGTACAAAACTTCCAAACGGCTAAACAAAGGAAGCGCCCGTTTAGCACGAAAGCCACACCAACGGTGCTGAGTTTGGACACTGCCATCCCGGCACTGTGACGTCAAACTGATAAAGTTTGCTAAGTTAAATACTTAACCGAATGGTATGATACATTTGACGAGAATTTGACATTTCTGCTTATTTTCCAGTTTATTTTTTTAATATATTTTATTGATTATGCCATTACAGTTGTCCCATTTCCCCCCTTCATTCCCCACCACCCTGCACACCCTCTCCCCCACCATTCCCCCTTTAGTTTATGGCCACGTGTCTCAAGTTCTTTAGATTCTATCTTTCCCATACTATTCTTGCCCCCCCCATTTTCTACCTACCATCTATGCTACTTATTCTCTGTACCTTCTCCCCCCTTCTTCTCCTCCCACTCCCCTGTTGCTAACCCTCCATGTGATCTTCATTTCTATGGTTTTGCTCCTGATCTAGCTGTCCTCTTAGTTTGCTTTTGTTTTAGGTGTGGTTGTTAATAACTGTGAGTTTGCTATCCTTTCACTGTTCGTCTTTTTTATCTTCTTTTTCTTAGATAAGTCCCTTTAACATTTCATATAATAAGGGCTTGGTGATGATGACCTCCTTGAACTTGACCTTATCTGAGAAGCACTTTATCTGCCCTTCCAGTTCGTTTTTGATCAGAGTCATTGTACCTTCATCTGCAACCCAATGTCCATTTCAAGGCCACCAGGCACTCAGGCAAAAGGTGTACACAGTGCCCCCTCTCACACCCTGTTCTTTGAGAATTCTCAGGAAGAAAGAGCTGGGGGTCCCAGACCAGGTGACTGGGAAGAGCGGATGTTTCCGCCCCACAGCCTGGAGGCAGGCAGAAGAAACAATGACCCTGGAACTCAGAGGCAGAGAGAGGCCAGGAAGGAGGTCAGGGGGAGGGTCCCCAGGGCTCTGCAGAGCACGGGGGTCCACTGGAGTGTGCACACCCCAGGCCCAGTTCTGCTCACGTCAGTTTTCCCATCTCTTAAATAAAAAATTCAGAGCTGGCCTAAAGGAAGGGCTGCTATTAGGAATCAGGAGAGATTTTCATCAAGTGGCCAGCAAATCTTGGAGCAGACCTCGTCTTGCCGAGTAGCCCTCTTAGCTACGGGAACACAGGTCCTGGGGCATGCAGAGCTGGCCCGTGCAGGGGCAGTGGACCTATTTGTCAAAATTTGTTTGTAACTGGCCCTGGCTGGTGTGGCTCAGTGGACTGAATGCTGGCCTGTGCCTGGGTGGCAGGCCGGGTCCTCAGTGGGGAATGCGTGAGAGGCAACCACACACTGATGCTTCTCTCCCTCTCTTTCTCCCTCCCTTCCCCTCTCCCTAAAAATAAATACATAAAATCTTTTTAAAAGTAAGAAAAAAGTGTGGTTGTAACCCTCAGACCAACACTTGGGCTGTTCTCTGTATTCTGCAATGTGAGGACATGCACAGGGGGGCAAAAATCTGAGTCACCCAGTGTGCCGTTCGCACACTGTACACGAGTGCCTTTTTGCGGTCTGTCTAGTGCTGCACATTTCAGATTTTTGTGCTTCACGATGGGGACTCCGCTCTATGGAGTGGCCCCCCAGCAGAGCGCCGGAGCACAGCCTCAGATGGAGAAGGCTGTGACGTGCCTGATGCAGAGAGACAGTGTTTGATCAACTTCTTTCAGGCATGAGTGGCAGTACTGGAGGCCGCGAGCCCAATGTAGTGAACCAACAACACATGGTAAATAAGGTATCTTTAAACAGAAACACATAAAACAGGGTTACGTGTTGATCGGCTGACAAAAATGTCAACCTGCTAGAGGCTTCTGGGAACCTAACCCTGACTTTATTTCCTTCAAGAGCAGGGGGTCAGGACTCCCAAATGCAGTGTTTGCAGTGACTATATAGAACAGAGCTACTGCAGATAATAAGAATCAACTGTAAATTATAAATAAAGGAATAACATTTTCCCATACTGCATCAAGAGCACCCAACTAATTTTCTGTTTCTGGAACCAAGTCTGCTACGGCACCGAGGCCAGAGTCAGCTCCTCCTGTTCAGAGGAGGCCAGACCGGGTGCAGGGGCCCAGGGACTCACCAGGCGGGCGTGGGGGTTGCGATGGTAGTACAGCTCTTTGTACTCATCCATCCACACTTCGGCGGCACGGACACTGTTGGCCAGAGCCTTTTTGCGGGAGTAGGGAGCTTGCTTGGGGAAAACATGGCCAACGTGAGAACACGGGTGTATCTCCAGGGTCCCACCGCACTGCCAGATCTGCACACAGAGCAGAGAAGAGGCTGGGCGGGGGGGGCAGGAAGGGAATGAGGTGCTGGCCAGAGTGCCCACAGCCAGGTGGCTGGACACAGACGTCATGACGACCACTGCCAAGCCCTCCCCCCGTGGGACAGCAGGTGGCTCCCCCAGCACACTTGGAACACAGAAAGCAGTCAGAGTAAGAAGGCAGCCCTGAAGGCAAACGAGCCCTGGAACCTAGACCCCACGTCCATGCACTAAAGCTCACGCGCTTGACTCCTGGCTGTGCCCATAGCTGACCTCGCTGGGAACCCAGCTACTCAGTGCGTAAAATACAGGCTAATTACCTGGTATCCTAGCCACAGAAGATAGGAAAGCAGCAAGTAGGAAGAGAAGTGTGGAAGGGGGAAAGGAGGAGCTTCTAGAGGCAGGCAGGGCGGCCTGACACCTGGGGAGAAGGCAGAAAGACCATTAAGAGCACACGGAAACTCAGCGGGCTGAGGTGTCCGGGCTGCTTCCTGCTGGGGCAAAGGGCCAAATTCTTATTTATTAAATCATACTTTTTAAGCAGGAAACCATATCAAATATTACTAAAGTTTTAAATTTTCTATTGAAAAGCACTAACATTGACCTAAGGTTCTGATACTTAAAATACAAGGTTTGGTTAACCGGAGACCCCACAGAGATGCTCAAAGCTTCTTAAAGGGGTGTCATCCGTGAGTCACGGCCAGTGGGACTGCTGGGTGGGCTTTATCACAGAAGGCAGATTCCTGGTCCCTACCGTAAACCCACCGAGTCTGACTTTCTGGGGATGGTGCCCGTAAATCGGCCTTTTTAAGACGTTTCCCCAACAATTCTATGTGGGTCAAAGTTTGGAAGTCAGTACGGTAAATAAAGAGGCCACTTCATAAATAGTTCTACGAAACAAGTCTCCAAAAGATGGGATCAGCAGGTAGGGACCTCACTTCCAGTCTAGTCTCTGACACCCACTCCTTGAGCGAAGCCACTCCCCCTCAGGCCTGGGCCTCAGTCCCTCCCCGCTGTAGTGAGAGGAAAGAACTGGGTGACTTGCGAGGCCTTTTCCTACCCCAAGTCTATTTAAAAGTAGATATTTTTAAAAGTTCAAACAAGCAGGCAAGCATGGTTACAGGATTCGTATGCCACTGCCATCTTTCAGCACTGCTGGATAAGCTGACAATATGGAGGAAAAGTCTACCAGGCTCTCATAAAATTCCATCCTTCCCGAAGAGAGAGAGAGAGAGAGAGAGAGAGAGAGACAGGTTAAGAATGAGTCCAAAGAGAAAGCTGGAATACTTACCCTGAAGGAGAATTCGAGGTTTTCTCCGCCCCAAACTTCCATTCCTGTGTCATAAGACCCCAGATATTCAAAATATTTCTTACTCACAGCAAACAGCCCGCCAGCCATTGTCGGAGACCTGGAAGCATATGAGACCCACACTGCAGCGCAAGCAGCAGGAAACCACCAGTTAGCTGACCTCCCCGCCCACCACATGCCCGCCAGTCCAGTCATCCATCTCTAAAGAGTACCCCGAGCTCACACTCCGGCCGGCACCGAGCGAGACCTGGGGGCTGCACAGGCAGCTCAACAGGCAGGGACAGAACTGGGTGTAGGACAAATGTGTTAACTAAGTTGCCCTGAGCCTGTGTGAACACAGAAGAGGTCATGGGGGGCGGCCAGAGGCGGGGAGCTCAGTTTCCTGGAAGAGGCAGGGTATGCAGAACAACAAAGGGGAGTTAGCCGAGAAAAGAAATGGAGTGGTTCTCCAAGAAGATGCCATCAGAAGCAAAGGCATGAGATGGAGAGAAACCCTGTACTTTTAGAAGCACAGAGGACCAGGAGATAAGACCACGTTCCCCCAGAGAATGGCAGGTACCAGGTGGTGGCGACCTGGGGCACCCAGTCATAGTGGTGGCACTCACAGAGGCCCCCAAGAAGCTGGTGAGTAGGAGATCATAACAGGCACCGGCCTCTAACGGCTCCTGGAGGGCCTGCCTGCTCCTCTCCAGGTCGAGCACTGCCCCCTGCAGGATCCGGACGCCGGCTTTGGCCTGTGTCCTCAGCTGGCCCCATTTTCTCTCTACCGGGTTCCTCTGGAAGATAACACTGGCCTCAGAAATAGCCCAAGGCTTCCACCCCACCACAGCAGAAAGCTGTAAGCACACCGCAGACAAACAAATGAAAAGAATAAATTCGGAAACGGGGAACTGTGTAATACAAAGAACCCAAGTTTAAGTTTTCGATCCTCCAGCCGCACATCCAGGCCTTGACAAAGTACCGACTTTCCCTGCGCCCCAAACTCTAGGCCAGCTGAGGAACGGACAGCCAGATTCCCTGTGGGAAGGAAGGTCCTAGACTACATGACACTTTCACACGTGTTCATCCTCAAAGTCTAGGAAATAGACAGGGTGGATATGCTCGTACCTACTGCACAGGTGAGAAAACTGAGGCCTAGGGTATTATGGGGGTGGGGTAGCTGGCCACAGCGTCCCTAAGCATGTGTGTAGGGTGGCAGTGGGGGGGTCAGGCAACAAGAGTACATGTCAGCATCACAGGCTGGATATGTGACCCTGGTTAAGACCCTTCCTGCTTTGTGCCTCCGTCTCCAAACCTGTACAATGTGAGGTTAGGCAAGATGCTCCCTCAGGGGTCCCCCAGAAGCCTGGGAGTTACCTTTGATTCTTCCCTGCCGTACTCCCAGTCGGTCCCCCCAGTTCTCCCGCCACAACACCTCTGAGCCCACTGCTTCCCTCCACCTTCTCCTGCACCATCTCCTCCTGCCCTGCAACACTGCAGTGCCTCCCAGTGATGCCCCTGCCTGCAGCCTGCTCCCTCCAGGCCCCTCACCACTGGCACCCAGCACAATCTTTAAAGAATTTAACAGGCCAAGGTCACTTCCAGCTAAAGTCCCTTCATAGCTTCTACCCTCTCGAGGTGAAGCCCACACCCTTTCCGTGGCCTTCAAGGCTGCACCTCACTTGACCCCACTGACCTCTCCGCCCGACCCCTCAATACCATCTCTATACTCAGTCCACTTCAGACAGCAGTGGGTCATCGCAAGGTCAGAACTCAAGTGGAAGGATTCAAAAGCCCAAATGTGGGTGCAGAGACCATTTCTAGCTCAAAACGCCAGCAATGAAGCTGAAGTCCGATCTCTATCTGCCTGACTCTTACCTCTGTCTCCCAACAGGTCCTGAACTTGGAAGGGGAGGAACAACGATCTGTTCCTTCAACACCTCAAGGAGGAGCACTAGCATCCCTCGAGTCACTGTACTCAGACCCAGGCTCGTCACCCCCAGGTCCACTCACCTCCCCAGTCCAAAAGGTGCCTGACAGTATGTCCTCAAGATGTCAAACGTGAACCACCGTGAACCCAGCCATTCTCTCCTAGGTATGTACCCGAAGAACTGAAAGTAGGGACTCAAAGCAAATAATAGCACACCACGTCCACAACAGCACTATTTACAATAACCAAACGGTGGAAACAACCCAAGTGTCCATCCATGGATGAATGAATAAACAAACTGTGGATGTATAGACAATGGAATACCCTTTAGCCATAAAAAAGAATGAAGCTGGGCCCTGGTTGGGTAACTAAGTTGGTTAGAGCATCGTCCCAATCCACCGAGGTCACAGGTTCAATCCCCAATCAGGCAAGAATCAACCAATGAGTGCATAAATAAGCAGAATAACAAATTAATCTCTCTCTCTCTCCCCCTCATCTACAAAAACAACAAATATTGAGTGACTGCACTTATACGAGGTATCTGGAACAGGGAAATTCACAGGAACAGAAGCAGAAGAGAAGTTACGAGGATCCGGAGAAGGGAAGGAAGGGCAGTCTCTGCTTCAAGGGCAGAGAGTCTCTGTACAGGGTGACAAAGAAGCTCCGGAAATACGCAGAGGTGACGGCCGCTGGAGACTGTGGATGTGCTTGGTGTCACGAAACTGCATGCTTAAAAATGGTAAATTTGGGGCTATGTATATTTTACCATGATTTTTAAAATATACTCAAACACCAAGATAAAATCCATGTACAGAGAGAAGATTTTTAATAAAAATAACAAACAAATACCCTGGAGGAAGGTGGGGGCCCGGCAGCATGTCCCTGCCGATGGCCTTCACCGACATGTCAGCCGGATGCAGAGGCTCGACCAAAGACTCTACCGATGACGCGTTAGTGAGCAGAATGACAAATAATCGCTCCTGACCTGATGACATCGACGGGGGATCGCATCCGCGCCCGCTCTCTCCGGGGGACCACGTGCCAGGTGAACACCAGCCTCCAGTCGAAACCGCCGACCTGGGGCTCCCCGGAGTTCCCCATGTACTCGAAGGTGTTCCAGTCGATCACGTCGATCACCGGGCACACCACCGCCGACTCCTCCTCCCAGATCCTGCAAACACCCAGGACACCCCGTCTCTCTGTGTGGACAGGCGCGGGAGGACAATGCGGAGATTTGGGGGTGAACTGGCCTCGCCCTTCCCCCAGGAGGGAGGAGCCCCCGCACGAGGAAGACCTGCTTCTCTGTTCCAGGTCTGCGGCCGTGTCAGGCAGGTGAGCATCTTGGGGGACTCCTGGGGGAAAGGGGGGAGCAAGGATCCCAACTTTCATATGAAACGCCCCACGGCTCTGACACTCTGATTGGACCTGTGGATATTCCGGCTCAACGTGCCTCCCTCTACGAAAGTCAAGACGTGAAAAATCAAAGGTAACTTTTCAAACAGAAAGCAGATTTTTGACTTCTCAAGATCGCAGAAGGCTTCTTCATTGAATCACAACGAATCTCAAAAAGTGAAGAAATAATTATCTCCCTGTGCAGAGACGTCCCCAGACCAAAGGGTCAGGTCAGTAAAAGTATCTATTTGACTCCTGCCCCTTGTTTGCCATGTGACCTTAGCTGAGTCACCTCAGCTCTCAGGGCCAGCTGCCTCACGGGTAACACTGGAACAGGCTCGCGCAAAAGCAGGTGGTTTGCAGGGAAAATAATACAATACTTACTAAAGAACAATGCAAAATAAACTGTAAACCTGCTTTTGCCCCACCCTGTATATTCCCACAGGGTTAAGATGAAGACGCCCAGAGAATACACGTAGGATGGCTGGCAGAGAACCTGGAACTATTGCTATTCTTTTCCTTTAATCTTTGTCATTGTGAACTATCTCACACAGAGGGAAACACTGTGGTTTTCTGTGGCAGGCACCAGCCAGTGTGCCTGCTTTCACTGGTCCCCCCACAGCGGTTACCGCAAGCCCAGCCATCCGTCGGCACGGCTTCCCAACTGTTTTCTGGCATCTGACAGCACACCAGGAAAGATGATCTGAGACTGGACCATGGGTGAACACTAGATTTCTCTGGGTTACATTTTAGGGGCTTTTATCTGGAATTTGACCCTAAAAAATCATAGAAGTCACACACACACATAGACACAAAATGGTGTGAAAAACAGAGATCAGCCAAACTTGAGCTGTACGTGTTTTTAGCATAACACCAGAAAGTTAAGGAGGTATGATGAATATGACCCTGAGGTAAGAATTACAGTTTTATGGGAAACTGCACTGTTCAGGACAGATTATGTAAGCCAGAGAATCCAAACTGTGAGCTCACTAAATTGGGGAAGTTGCCTTCACTCTCTGCCAACGCCCAGGTCTTTGGATAAACAAAGGACATTATTAAAAGGGTGAGAGGGACAACAGCAGACCAGCCAGCCAGTTCGAAGGTGCTGTGTGGCCCCTGGCAAAGACCCCGAGAACACGAGACTTGTAACAAGCTGGCTGGAAGCATGGGTAGCCTAATTTTTACAAGAAGGGAAAGCCAAGAAGGGAAAGCCGGGAACCAGAACGGGAGGAGAGGACTCCGAATAGCGGTTACGCAATGTGAAGGCCCCGCCCCCCGCGGACGGCTGGCGCACCTCTGCAGCAGCGGCTCCAGCCAGCCCTCGTGGCACTCGCAGTGGCAGTCCAGGAAGGTCAGCACGTGGCCCTTGGCCACGGAAGCCCCCAGCAGCCGGGCTCGCACCAGGCCCTCTCTCTTGTTGGCACGGATCAGGCGCACCTTGGGCAGCCCCGACAGCTCGTTGGCTAGGCGTTCCTTCAGGTGCTCTGGGGAGGCAAGCGGAACAACGAGGGTCACCCCCACATATCCCCAGCCAGGTCCTTCCAGGGCCTCCGTGTCCCCAAAAGAAGGCCAGATAGACAAAAGCCTCCTTCGCTGTGCCACCTGGGACACACTGGCCCCCATGCGAGCCAAGGCTGGCCGCACCCCGCAGGCCAGGGGGCTGGGGCGGAGGAATTCCAGAATCTCGGGATGTTTGACATGCATGATATGGTATGTGGATATAGCTGAATACATAGAGGCATGAGCCCCCAGAATACATTATACATTGACTTGTGAACACTCAAAAATAAAAAGCACAGGAACCACCCAACCACCATCTTTCTAAAAAGTTGTGTTAACATAAACTTGTTACATTAATTAATGATACCATATGCTACAAACTTTTGATTTACACGAAATTATGTTAACACAAACTTTGTGTCATTATAGTTACACTACTACAGTTACGTTAGTGAAAATCTGACAGTATCATGTGATCACAGTTATGCTACTGTGCATTTTCTCGGGAGCACACATCAGGTGGCCCAGTGACCCAGTAACGATGACAGCTGACCTGCGAGGGCCTGCCGAGCTCATCGCTGCCTGAGTGAGTGGCACACAACTCACGCAGTTCTCATAGAGATCCTGTGAGGGAGGTGCCACTATCATCCCCATTTTACAGAGGTGAACACTAAGGCCAGAGAGGCTAAGTAACTTGTCAGGGTCAAGGTCACAGACCAAGTGTGCTGAGGACCTGTCATTTAAACCCAGAGACCCTGCCTTCTTGAGTCCACAGAGCATGCTCCTTCTCATCCTTGTTAACAAACCCAAAACTTGTGGGGAGAACATCCCATTTTGCAGAAAACGAAATGAGTCCTTCAAAGTTCAAAGGAAGCACCCGCAGTGAGGGCTGGCTCCAGGACGCCCGACCCCACACTCAGGCCCCACGATGGAGGCCCCCACTCACAGGCCTCTGTGAGTCAGGTGAGTGGGCACCCACTCGGGCAAAAGTGTGAATGAATTTCCTCACACCCACATGGGCTTTGTCTCAAAGTCTTCAATCATCAGGAAGCGGAAAAGTTTATAAACTGTTCCAGGTTGCTTCACAATTAGTGAAAATGTTTCCCTAAGTATTCTTGCCACTCAAAAAGAAAAGAAAAGATTCATCACATGAATTGGTTTGTTTCAATCCTAAACATAACTGTAAATAAGCCTAAAGCAGGAGTCAGACCGGCCACTTCCCACACACAGGCGTCACCATGATGCTCAGCCAACGCCCACAGAAGCGCACCTGCGGCCTCCCCGCACACACGCAGCAGAGATTCGGTCGGCCTTCACCTTCTGTCTGCCTGAACTGTCTTCCCACACCGGGGAGGGGCTGACCCACCGTCTTGGAGCTCGGCCTGGCAGCGCAGAAAGGGCGGGAGGAGGCAGGACAGGCTGGGCGGGCACCTCGCCTGCTTTACAGGTCACCTGCAGGGGGCTGGGGGGACCACGGCCCTGCTGCACGTTTACGAGGGAACCGCGCTGTGCCGGAGGGTCCAGACCGTGTTCCCGCCAGCCACAGGATCCCAAAAATCCTGCTTAATTCCCTAAAGATAAAACTTTAAATCTAATATCTGCTTCTGAATGAAGATATTTCTGATATTTTCAGCATTTTATGGTTTAATATTTCATAAAAGTAGAAGTTATCATTTAACAAGTGCTAACAATATGCCAGGCACTGGCCTTGCTTTACCTCATTTAATATTCACAATGACCCTACAAGGAAGGAACTGTTATTATTTAATTTATGCTAATTGATTATATTAATCTATTATAAAACACGGACGGGCTAGGGCCGAGGTTGAAACAGGCCATGCTCCTTGCCCGAGGTGGTACGGCTATGAGGAGCTGGGGCCGGACCCAAGCCTATGTAGTCCCACCCAGAACCAGAGTCCACCCAGACAGGTTTAAAACAACCAGGGGAGGAAAGGACAAAGGGAACAGAGACGAGTGCCTGCTGCGCGCTGGGGCCACGAGGTTCTGTTCCATATACGTGTCTGTGTGCGCAGGATCTCACTTACCCCTGACTGCAACTCTCTGAGACGGGTGTGGACAAACCCGGTCACGAGCGAGAAGACAAATGAACAGGGACTTGCCTTGCTCCCCAGGAAGTCCCCAGTGCCTAGACCAGTGTGCTGCACACCTTAAAACTCAAAAACCGTTCACCGAATAACAAAGGGCTGCCCCGGACTGTGCGTGACTTGCTGGACCCGGTCACTGGCCAGGCCTGCAGGCACGAGACCACCCTCTCATTGGCTTGCCCCTCCCTGGCTTCAGCTCTTCTGTCTGGGCCGCCCCTCTGATCTCATCTCAAACTCAACACATCCAAAAACCAAACATCCGCGTTCCTCTCCCAAACCAGCCCTCCTGTCCTGGGTGGCTCATCCAGCCCTAAGATGACCTTGCCATTCACCCAGGGACCCAGGCCAGAAGCTCACAGTCCTCCCTGCACCTTGGCCAGTCTTCATCTCTGCGGACACCGCCTCTCGAAAATCTCTCATCCGCCCTCTCCCCTCCCTCTGCCACCGCCTGACTCCTAGCCTCCATCTCTCACCTGGGCCACCCCGACAGCCCCCTGTCCCCCTCACCGAGCTCCTGGGTACACTCCTCTCCTCACTCCAGCCAGAGGGACTCTCCCAAACAGCCCTCCTGCCTTAAACCCTGCCTTGGCTCTCCCCGCCCTTCGAACAAAGTCCCAGCTCCCTGGCCTGTGTCTAATGCCTGCCTCCATCTCCAGCCCCCCTCCCCATTCTCTTGCTACTACTCCCCGCAGCAGCGGGCCCTCCGTCCTTTCTGAACTACTGGCAGATCCTACACGATCCACGCAGCGCCTCCACGCCTTCCCACAACGGTGCCTCCACTTGAAACACCCTCTTTCCTCCTTTGCTGTCCACAAACTATTCGACCTTCGAGAGTAAGGCCAACTGCCCCATCCTGGGCACGCGGGCAGAGTAGATCCCTCTCCAGCTTCCCATGTGGAGGAGCCCTCTGTCAGGACAAGTGTGTCCCTCCACCAGGCTCTGGTGGACACGGGGGCATGCAGGGAGCCTGTCCTCACTGGGCCTCTCCCACATGCCTCATGTCACACTGTCATCTCCCAGGCACTGCCACGGAAAGCTGGGCTCCTCCAAGAGGCCACATCGGGGGCTTACCTCTATCACTGTAGTCATCTACAAGAATAACTTCTTCCAGCAGGATGTCCGGGGACGTCTCGAGGACACTGTAGACTGTCCGAAGGAGAGTTGACCAGGCTTCATTATAAAATGCTATGATAACAGATGTCGTGGGCAAAAGATCGTAATCATATTTCTTTTCTTTGCACCTGCAAATACAACAGAGCTTCAGGAATGAAGAACCTGCTGTTGACCGGGCGTGAACCCAGCCCAGGCGGGTGCTGGGGATGGGGTGGTGCACGGAACATAGGTCCCCATCTTAAGCCTCCCTCTGGGGAATGGGAAATAATCTTCTGGGATCTTGCAGATCCCCCCACGTTCCACTAGGAGGCCAAACAGATTCTAAGAAAGGTTCTAAAATGACACCCCACAGACTTGAACTGTGGGATGCTGGTTTTACGCTTTAAAGCAACATTCAGGCTTGAGTGATGTGCACACTAAGCGAATCAGAAGGCAGGGAGACTTCTGCCACTTCTCCCTGCCCCGCGGCTCTCCCCTCTGTCCACTCCTCTCCATCCCCCTGCTGGGCCTTTGCTCAGACCGTGCCCTCTGCCTGGAACCTCCCCGCTCTGCCCACCCCTCACCTGTGTCTCCCTGTGTGTCACTCACAGTACTCAGGTCACTCACGCCCCATCTGCGTCTCCCTCTGCCTGTTCCCAGCATCGTCCCCACACTTCGTCCAAGCAGAGTCTGCCTACACTTAACAACGGTGTTGCACTGAGTGCATCAGCCAGAACCAGGGCCAGGACATACAAACGCTCCAGGGAGGGCTCGAGAGAGGACAGTGACTGCCCACCACCCCCCTCCCTGTCCCCATGTCATCCCTACTCTGTTCTGTGGCAGTGTCTTGGTGGTGGGGAGGCTGAGCCCACCCTCTCTGGGGGTGGCCCTTGACTGGCAGTGACAGGAACCAGTAGGCTCCCTCTTCGTTTGGTAGGGTTTGCTACTCCTGTGTAAGGATGGTACTGGTTGAAACAAAATTCTCTCCTTAGAGTGACCCACGACAAACTCCCAGTGTCACCCCAGGGACTGGGCAGTGCCTGGAAATCACCAGCAGGCCATGGCTGGCAGCAAGATGGAGGGGACAAAAACCTAAGAGGGATACCAGAAGGACCAAGGTTTGAAGGTGGACTGGACGCTGGGCTGGGACTTCTAGAAAGGGGGAAGTGCTGACAACCAGCCAGGCCACAGGCAGGAAGGGATGGCCTTACCAACACGCCGAGTGGCCAATCAAAGAGATGGAGAACCAAGCAGGACGAGGGGTGCAGCTGACATCTGCTGATGATCTGCCCCCTGCGAGGCCCGTCATCGGCTCGTTCCTGATGGCCTACTATGTGACCGAGAGGCAAAACCCCTGCTGTCACGAAGCTTACCTCCAGGGGGGCAATAATAAAGACAGCAAACATAACAATGGTTTCCAAAAGTGACCAGACAATGACCGGAAGAAGGGCGATGACACAGAGCGACACAGAGGGGAGAGGGAAGGGAGAAGGCGAGCAACCGCAGGACAGGTAATCAAGGAGGGCCTCTGAGAGGAAGCGGCACTTAGGATGAGACCTGAATGATGACGGACTCAGTTCCACAAAAAGCCACAGAAGAGTCCTTTATGTATGCAACTTTTTTCTTTTGTGTTTTTGTCTTTTATCTTATTTTTAAAATTTTCAAACATATAAAAAGTAGAGAGATACTGCAAGAAACTCCATGTCACCTAGCCTGGTCAGTCTCCGTGATCGAGGTACCTCCTTGGCCAGGTAAGTACAGCCTGGCCAATATTCCTCACCCACTCACCCTCATCCCAGACTATTTTAAGCAATATTCAGCATATCACAATGTCCACAACATTTCAATATACATCTCTGAGAGATAAGGACTCTTTTGTATAATAAATACAATATCACTGTAACACCTTAAAAATCAGTCATTCCTTAATGCTATCCTATCTCCGGTCTACAATTTTTCATTCAAGTGAAGAACCCGAGGATTGGGAGACATGTCCCTCTTTTTGAACCACTAAGGTAGACAATTGTAGGGTACATGGATTTTAATACATATCCTCATTTCAGAAACGTTTAAAAATAAGAAAGTGCCCTGGGATCAATGAACTGCAGTACTTATATTTAACGCTCACAACCGCTTCCTAGGTGAGTATTTATAGTTCTCATTTTCAAGGCAAGGCTCAGAAAGGTGAGTGACGTGGGCAGGTCACAGAGTGCCTGTGAGTTACCTGATTTCTAACTAGGTACCAGATCAGAAAGAAAAACGCTGGGACAGGTGGAACATTCCAATATTGCACACATTTCCTGAATTTGATAACTACACCACAGTATCATGAGAGAATGTCCTGGTTCTTAGAAAATATACCCAGAAGTAGCAAAAGATAAAAGGATGGTTATTTCTGTAACTTACTCTCAGAAGTGTGTAATAATATAATACACTAATAGAAAGAGAAAAATTAAGTAAACGGGGCAAAGTACATTATCGGTGGACCTAAGTGAAGGATATATAGGAGTTTGTTGTGCTATTCTTGCAAATTTTCTCTAGGTTTCAATTTTTCAAAATTAAAAGTTTAATGCAAAAAGGAAAAGTGCAATGTTGCCAAGGGGAGAGCAAGCTGGTTAATGGACGCGATGAAGGCCCCGTCCTCTCTCCTTCTTTTCCACTCCCACCACAGCAGCTGTCCTCCTGCAGACAGACATTCTAGCGCAGGGAGACATGTACATGTATGAAAATATGAGTAAGTATGTCTGGGTTTAATAAGCCCCTGCGTGCTGGGCAGGGTGCACAGAAAAGCTATGTTCGCCCACTGGAAGGATCATGAAGAATTGTTTACACTACATGGAAAGTGTGTTTTTTTGTGAAACCTAAAAATAAAGCTTTTTACCTTAAAAAAAAAAAGGTAAAGTTAAAATTTATATTCAAATATACATAGATCCAAAGCAAAATGAGTAGAAATAAGGATAATGAAGTGAGGTCTTGAAAAATAAAGTTTATTCAACCTAAATAACTGTACTTTAGTCTGAAATCATGTCTCTGTGGTTTGGGATTAAAATTCATTTCCCCTCACGACCGTAAGCAGGAGGGAAGAAAACGCTCTGCTTCGCTGGACAGAGTCGGGTCCTCGTGTCCGTCCCTACTCGGTGTTCTTCCGTCTCCACTGGTCTGTGACAGCCCAAAGCCCAAGGCCACTTTTCTCCAGGGTCCAGGTGGCTGCTCTGTTTGTGCCCTCTTAAATCACAAGGAAGCTGGGTGTCACTTCGGCAGCACACACTCAGAGCTTTCAAATGTTCCTCTTCTCTTTGATCCCCTACTAGCATTCTAGGAATTCCTCACCTGAGGCAATAATCAGAGATACCCTGAAGGAGGCTTGCAGCAAGAATTTTTCTTTGTAATATCACTGAGAGTAGCAAAAATCTGGCAACAACTTCAATATCCAACAAGAAGTAGCTAAGGCGCAGCATGACTGACTGCGTGTGGCCATGCTGCACGGCCATCCAAATCACATTTCAGAGGACATATAACAGTAAAAGACAATGGCCACAGCACAACGTGAAGTCAGAAAAGCAGGGTTCAGATCTGTGCGGCACAATGCCACTTCTATACATGACGATACGTGTGCACACGCGCTCACACGTAAACAGTACACAATACAGAGAAATATGCCAACGTGTTCACAATTCTGATCTCTGAGTAGTGGATTATCGCAGAGTCTTATTTAGGTCTTTGTATCTTCTTGCATGCCAAAACTGTCCTACAATGAATATGCATTGTTTTGATAATCACAAAGGAAGATAATTTTTTTAAAGCGGGATCATATTTCTTTAGCTCCCCACAGCAAATGCCTTCATTGAACAACGATGTAATATCCTGACTTCTTTCTTTCTTGGTCTGGGAGCTTCTCCTCCTTTCTCTAAAACATCCCTTACGGTCTCCCCTTTTCCGGACTGATAGGGTTAGTCAGGAAAAGGGGAGTTAGGGTTTTATACAGGAAGCTGTGCACCCTTCGATCAGAAGAGGCTTGGTCTGCATCACTCAGGGCTCCACCCCCGCCCTGAGTTTAGCAGCCAAACTGACTGCCAAATCCCAGCCAGCCATCCTTTCCTTGACTCTCCCATGGATTATAAGAAAGTACATATAATCCATGAACTTTCGGAGGGCGGGGGCCAAACTGCATTTTCCCCTGGCTATTCAGCATGCCCGTACTGTGCCTGGTGGTAACAGTAACATTTATGGGTGGTTACTACATGCTAGGCAGTGCGCTGAACACTTTGCTTGTGTTATTCTGTTTACCCTTCACAATGCCCTGTTGGGTGGGGACCACTCCATTCTCTACTGGCACAGGACATGTCCATGTAGTCCATGGATGTGAATGAAATGGCTGCAGTAGATGCCTCCAATCTTTTAGCTTTGTATTCAGGGTTATCACATAAATGTCTTTAAAAAATGAAAATTCATATTTCCTGGCCTTCATAGAACAGGCCAGGAAGGTCACAACCTCCATTTGTGTGTTTCACCGGCCCAGAAACACACCTTCTCCTTTCTCACCTCACTGCACTGGGATTTCTCTCTCAGAGACCTCTCGTCTGTGTGGTCTGTGCAGGGTTAAACACACACACACGGATACATACACATGTACATTTACATACACACGGCCCTCCAGGAAGGCTGAATGCCCAGGCCTCACCAGTCAACCTCTTCCTGATGACATCAATCGAATTCCTGAATCCAGGGCCTGAAATAATCTGGACCCAGCTCTCACACCAGATATTCTGTGATAGAAGTAAATATATTTTCTTTTATATTTAAGTCAGTTTCCATTGGGTTTTCAGTCACTTTCAACCCAAAGAACTGTGACTAAGAAAGAAAAAAGCTTAACAAATAGAAAGCATAAAATAAGATGGCATAATGAAATCCCAAAGTGTCAATAAGCGCAATAAATATAAATGAACATAACCATCTAGTTAAAGTCAAAGACTATCAGTCTGGATTTAAAAGAAACACAAATCTAGCAACATGCTGGAGACACACCTAAAACACGAGGGCATGGAGCAAGTGAGAAAAGGTATGAAAATACTAAAAAAACTAAACATGTTTTAAACGTGAACCGAGTTGAAGAAAGAGTGCCATGCAGACGGCCACAAGACGAGTCTAGTGAGAATTAATAAACTATCTTGCAGTTTACAGCCTTGTTGGAGAAGCAAAAGAAACACCATTCTAGTCTCCACACCAGGTTATGTTTTTCCAAAGATGAATGTTATCAGAACATACAAGCAGGCTACCTCTCTGCAAAAAGAGAAATCCTACCCAACCAACTCCCTCTTCTCAACCCTCGGAAGACGCCAAACACTTCTGCTAAACTACCTCTTCGGAGCCATTTCCAGACCATCATCCCAGCCTGCACATCCCGATCCCTGAACTTAAACCCATCGGCAACTGCAGCATGAATGAGACTAAAAGCACGCCTCTTAGAAACGTAAAACCTGTGTGTAATTACACAATCCCCTACCCGGGGCTGCACAACCCCTCTGCCACAGCAGGAATGGCTGTTCACATGAGCAGATCCTCACCCAGGTGCCCCTGGAAACGCGCTCACTCCGCCTTGATCTCTGTCTACATAAGTCAGAATGCAAACGAGAATGGCATTCTAGTGATTATCTTGAGGTTTCTCTGATCTGTGAAAACCAAAACCTTTTGCAAATAGTAGTACAAACTTGTTAGCAACCTCTTACTTGTGACACACCTTACACAACTCACTGTGATGTCACCACTAACTTCAACTGCACTTGGTCTGACCTTAACCCCCAAGTGGTCTAATTCTGGTATTCTCCCACACCCTGAAAAGCTCCCGCCCTTAATCTTCCCCATGAGAAAGCTTCAGGCTCTCAGCCAGCAGCTTTCAACCCCAGCTGACATCAGCCTTAGCGCAGGCTCTACCCACAGAACTTCTATTTATTTGCTCTGGGGAAGGTCCTTAGCATCAATAGTTTTACAAGTCTCCAAAGGCCCCAAACGCAGCTTATCTGGCTCCCTGCTTTGGCCTGCTGTCATCTCAGCGTGAAAGTTCCCTCCTAACCTCAAATGAGATGGTGTTTGCTAAAGAGTATTGCAAACCCTGTACTTACTGTATCACCATGCGAGGATTCCTCGTCGGCCTCCCCCCAACTCCTTGATTCAATACTATAGCTAACAGAGGGAAAGCTGTGCTCTAATGCCCTGGCCTGCAAAGTATTAGACTCAGGAGGGTTGGGGGCTGCACCCAGTCTCAAGAAATTAGAACCAGCTTTCCTGAGGTTCCCTATCAGCCTGGCTCTGTCCAAGGCAGCACACACAGACCCAAGGCTGGCAGACGCCAGGGAGAGCCAAGCCAACTCGTCCCTTGGGAGTTCCCAGCTCCCGGCCTGTGCTAACAGGTTTACCCACTGTACAGCAAGTCCTCACTTAACAGCCATAGATTCTCTGACTTGAAGCGAAACAACGTATAATGAAACCAACTTTACTGTGGGTTAATCAATATAAATAGAAGCTGAGTTCCTGCGCCCTCTCATCAACATCAGAACGAAACAACTTTGAATGAAACGATGCTATTCGAGGACCTGCTGTAGCGTAAACACCAGTTAAAAACGCGGGTGGGCCTACAAAATACTCGGGTTTGAATGCGTTCTTACCCACTTACCCATATGCATATTTTTCGAAATCTATTTCTATGCCTGGAAAAGTCTAGGAGAATACACAGCAAAATGTTACCAGTGGTTCTCCCTGGGGTGGTAGGTTTATGGGTGGTTTTTATTCTTAGTTTTTGCTTCTCTGCATATGCTCAAATGTCTAGAGTGAACATGTAAGGTTTTCATAATTAAAATAGAGAAATAAATGCCTGCACCCTAAAAGGGAGGAGGGAATAAAAGATCTGGGTGCTAGATCAGCCATGTCCACATCTGGCTGTTCCTGTGGCTTTTTCTCTGAGTTGAGAGTGGATGCTACCTCGGGCCTTGCCTGCTGCACAGTTCAAGGACCTTCGCCACCCCTCGGTTTACTAATTTGATGCCCAGGGGACCATCCCTCCCATCCCCACCACGAACTCAACTCATAATCTGCCAATCCTCAGGCTAAATCTTAAGAGCCTGAAAGGGTCCCCGCCCCTGTATTGAACTATAATAAAAGCGAGTCTCCCTGAAAGGCCCTGCCGCTACCGGCCACGCTGAAGCGCTGCCTCAAGCTCTGGCCTGGCTGAGCCCAACACAGATAAACATGCCCTCTCTCCAGCTAGGCAAGAATAACCCAACAGGCCTTGCTGCAGGAATTAAAGGCAGGAGGCATTCATACTCCTTATCACGCTGGGTTTGGATTAATGCCCCAGGGTCAATGCCACAGCAGGATCTATGAGCAAATTCTGATAGGCCACAGAGCAGCTGGGTCACCATGGAGATGGGATACCATAAGCCCCATAGGTCATCCACAGTGTTTGAAAGAGATTTCACAACATGGGACAATAAAGGAAGTTGGAACCCAGAAAAGAAAAACTTTATAACCAATCCCTGGATAATTAAAAAGTGACCTCCTGTGTATATTGTTAGCAACAGGAAAGACAAGAAAAACTAACAAGAATTGAACACGTAGTGTGTTCCCAGGTGTTTGGTGCTTTATTTCTACTCATTCCCTGTTTTGCAGGTAATGAAACAGGCTCGAAGACACTAACTAGTTAGCTGGCTTAAGGTCACAGAGCTTATAAGCAAGAGAGTCAGAATTTTATCTCCCGTGGGCTGGGCCTGAACCCTGGGTCTGACCTGAAAGCTTCCCAATGGTCACTCAGTGAGCACCCTTGGAGTTTTAAGGAAATAAGCATGCATTCAGCCATTTGGCTGGAGTTGGGGGAACTGCTACCCACCCCAGCAAACAAACTTCTCAAAAAGATTAATGGGAAATGCTTCGGGCAAAAGCATGAGGCTAGAGATGAGCAGGTGCAAGGGGGAAAAAAGGTAGGGGCAAGTCCATCCAAATTTTGCAGAGGTAGGGCCACCTCATGCAGACACTCTTGCTCTCTGGCCAAGGATCCACAGAGCAGGTCCCTTAAATCTTGAAATCAGCACAGTGCCAAGGGGACCAGGAGGATCACAGTCCCTCAAGTTCCCCCACTCTCTAGCTGTCACCTGTCCTCTCTGAGCCTGTTTCCACACTTGTAAATTAGGAAAGACAAGGACCAGGGAGGGATGGCAGGCAGGTGCCTGCTGCACACAGCAGGCTGCCCAGCTAGATGCTCCCAGAGACCCCGCTTTTCCTTAAGGTCTTTGAGGGGCTTGCTCAAACAGGGACATGGAAGATTCCCACCAATGAAGGAAAGGAGGAGAAAGCCAGAAGGGCCGCCGTCATCTTCCTGCCAACTTGCTTCCTTCTTGAAACTTGGGCAGTGGGGGCAACGAGCCCAGCCAGCAGCTCCGACAGGAACTAGGCGTTTGACTACACAGACTCTGAGCCTGCACCACCCACAGGAGTGAAGTGGGCTAGACCACAGGCAGAAGGAGCCCTTCCCACCAGCCACTCCTTCCTGCCTCCCTCCTCCCAAAGCTCAGGTGAGAAAGAAGGTGGCTTACTGCCTCTGACGTGGCCTTCTGGCCACCTTTCACCTCACCTGCCCGGGGTGCACACCCCTCCAGTTCACTCACAGACACAGGTGCACACTTAAGTGAATGGAGCGGACAATACCGGCAGAGCGGGACTGAGGGTGCCGTGGGAGCCAGAAAGGGGACCCAAAACCGGTCTCATCTTAAACCTGTCTACTTAGCCCAGACTCCCACTTCCCAGAACCAAATGACAGCCCTTCTCAACGGGGAGGGAGCCAAGAGACCACCTAGGAACAGATTTCTCAATTTCTGACATTTTTCTATTTTCTTTTAAAAAAACTTTCTTGTGCCCCTCCCCCCATATAACCCTTACGCTGCCAACTCCCGAGAAAGACTCAGTAAGACGCGCGATTCCCAGGTATTTTAACACCCCACCACTTCACAGATGCAAAAACTGAGGCCTCGGGACTCCCTGGACAGGGCTCCTCCCGCCACCTGAGGACTCACAGAGGGTTCCAGCGCTCGGGTAGGCGGCGGTGCAGGGAGATGCGGTCGCTAAGGTAGGTGTTGATCTGATGCAGCCGCACGCTCTCCTCTTGCAGCTGCAGCTCCTCGCCCTTCAGCTGCAGCCGCACCGCCTCGCCCCGCGCGCCCAGAGCGTCCTCAGGCACCGGTGGCCGTGACAGGACCGGGTCGCGCCGGCCGGAGCGCGGTGTTCGTGGGAGTCCCGGCTCCGCCGCCCTGGCTTCGCGATGTGCCCGCAGAACCGACCGCAGCCCGACCAACGCCAGCAACGCCACCAGCACCAGTAGCACCTCCCGGCCGCGCCGCAGCCCCCGTGGGCAGCGCCGCCACGCCGCGCGCCCCCACATGCGCCCACCAGCAACTGCTAGCGCTCGGCGCGCCCCGAGGCGGCGGCGCAGTCGGGGACCCGGATCCCGGAACCGCAGCCCCGCGCAGCCCCGCCCCGCCCCGGCCCGCCCCACCTGCGCCCCGCCCCCTTCCCTCCCAGCCCGCCCGCCAGACCGCGGGAGCGCCGCCCCAAGCCGAGTAGGAAGGCTCTTCTTACCAGGTTTTCTGCTCGGGCTTGCCGAGACTAGTACCTTGCTGGCTGGGCTATGTGCATTCTTTAAAAGGTAACGGCGCAGCCGTGGCCAGTTTGGTTCAGTTGGTTGGGCGTTGTCCATGAGGTCGCTGGGTTCCATTAGGGTCAGGGCACAGACTTCATACCTGGGTTGAGTGTTTGGTCCGACCTCCCCCCCCAACCCCTCACCCCCCACCTCGCCCAGCCCAGGGCATGCAAGAGGCAACGGATTGACGTTTTCCCCCCACATGGATATTTCTCTCCCTCTCTTCTCCCTTATCCTCTCTCTAGAATCAGTTTTTAAAAAAATATAATAGCGTAAAACCTTTAGCTCAGCAACTGGCACATTGTAAGCGTTCAGTAAATGTGGGCTGCAGAGTGCTAAGAATTTGACTGACATTATCTCCGATATCTGACTCGTATAGTCGAGTAAGAGGGGTACTAAGTCTATAAACTCCTTTTTTTTTTTTTACTGAAGAGAAAACCGGCACAGCGAGACTCAGGGACACCAGGCTGTCCACTGAGGCCTGCAAGCCCTACCTAAGACGGCTATTTCGATCTCTTGTTATTCAACAAGCCCTCCTCTGGCGCTCTGCTAGTGGATATTTGTGTTTCTTATCTTCACCTTACAGACGCCTCCAAGAAGCTGATCAAAGCAATGAACTGTTCCCTTAGAAAAACATACATAAACACCCATAATATTATCACACACACCCCAGGTCATTCATTCATGTTCAATCCCCCAGGCCTTGACTCCAGGTTTCCTTTGGGGGCTTTGAGGGAATGAAGGAGCCCCTGGGGTGCTGGGAATATTTAATTGGTCAAGACAAGAATCAGACATGAGGATCCCTCTGAGGTGCAAAATTTAAGAGTGGGCTGGAAAAAACTCAGTGGTCAAAATTATTAATATTTTAAAAATCAAAATGATTCCAAAAATCCATGATGAAACAAAATATCAAAATTTTCAATAAAGGCAGAATCTGACCCTATGCTTACACAGTTCATCTCACCCACCTTACACACCCTAATCCCAGCCCTGATTTCTATATCTTGATCTCGATGGGGATCAAATGGATATATATATATGAGAGGGGACCTCCAATAAAACAGAATTTATTTATAAAAATTGTGTATTTATTCTTACATGTTTAAACTCCAGTCACCTTCCGAGTACTCTCCATTTGATGCAATACACCTATGGAGGCGTTTTTTCCACTGCTCAGAACAGTTTGTGAACTCATCAATTTTGATGCCTTTTAGTGCTTCTGCCATTTTTTGTTTCACCTCTTCCACATCAGCAAAACAGTTCCCTTTGAGGACTTTTTTCATCCGGGGAAACAAAAAAAATTCACCGAGGGTGAGATGGGGTGAATAGGGAGGGTGGGGCAGAGGGTGTCATTTCAGTTTTGGTCAAAAACTGCTGGACACTCAGCTCAGTGTGTGCAGGTGTGCTCCTAAATCACTGATCATGAAATGGGCAGACACATTATTATAAAAACACTAAAGCCAAATGCAGCCTCTCACAACAACACCACCTGGTATACACTGGTACAGATGAGTTCCTAGAACACTCACCTGCAAGGGAAGCCTGTACTACAAGGGCCCTGCCCTCCAGAAGATAATTCCAGGGGTGTTTTTTGGGGGGTCTCCCCTACAAAACTTGATGGTGTAAAAATTTACTTGATGATGTAAAAATTCATCAAGTTCCTCTTTGAAACCTATGAACTTATGAAAGTTATAGTTCAATTAAAAATTGAAAACAAATAAAAAGAGTGAAGAAAATTTTTAAAAAATGAGAACCCCTGGCTTCTAGGACAAGTGCTATAGTCCTTAGCTTGACAGGAGAAGACCACAGAATGTGACTCCAAATTCTGCAAAGCCTATCTCCAGCCACCCAGGGAGGAGATGCAGAGCTCCACCACTCCAGGTCTTTGCACATGCTGTTCCCTCTGATTGAAATGCCCTTCCCTACCAGGCAAACCCCTACCCATCCTTGAAGCCCTGCCAAAAGCTACCTCCTCTGTGAAGCTTTCAGCAGCAAACACAGCCTTTTAGGCAAATGTATTTCAAGATTGCCTCAGCCTTTTGTGTATTAGTCAGGGTTCCACTGGAGAAATAGAACCAGTAGAAGATAGATTAAGAGATTTATTGCAAGGAATTGGTTTGTGTTATTTGTGGGTGCTGGTGAAGCAAATCCAAAATCTGTAAGGCAGGCCGTCAGAATGGGCAGGCTGGAACCCTCTGGCGTGAGCTGAAGTCATACTTCACAGGCTGAATTTACTATGTTCTAAGACAGCCTCAATTCCGCTCTTAAGACCTTTTGACTGACTAAATCAGGCCCACCTTCACTTAAAGTCAACTGATTATAAACATTCATCATATCCACAAAATACCTCTACAGCAACATCTATCTTAGTGTTTGATTGAATGACTGGGGATTACAGCCTAGCAAGCTGACACATCAAACTGACCACCTCCATTAGTTTCCTAGGGCTGTCAAAACAAACTACCACATACTAGGTGGCCAAAAAACAACAGAAATTTTATCTTTCCCAGTCCCGGAGTCCAAAATTAATCAGTCCTGTCCACAAGGCCACATTCTCTCCAAAATCTCTGGGAGAGAACCTGTTCCATGCCTCTCCCTCGAGTTTCTGAGGTGGCCTGCAATCCTTAGCATCCCTTGGCTTACAGATGCCTCCCTCCATCACCATTGGTGTTCTTCTGGTGCATGTCTGTTGCTGTGCCCCTGCCACCCTTCTTCCAAAGGAATGGTCATGTTGGGTTTGGGCCTATGCTCATGGCCTTATCGTAACTTGATGACATCTGGAAAGACCCTGTTTCCACATGAGGCCACATTCGTGGGTCCCAAAGATTAGGATTTCAACATATCTTTGCAGGGGACACAGGGCAGTCCATACCACCAGCATACTTTTTTACAGCATTTGGTGCCTTGGATTGTGTTGAAATCCACCCTGTCCTTGCAACCACAACCACAATGAAAAATATAAGGGACACACAGTGAGTGGTCAGTTGATGGCAGGCTTTCGTCTCACACTCACTTTTATATGCATGTGCTTGAACTCTGTGGGCAGGTATCTGATTAAGGGCAGGTATCTGTTCATGTTCCCCACATGGGACAAACAGCAATGCCTCTGGTCTCCTTGCTGGAAAGGCCTCAGTGATAACCCAACGGGGAGTTTTCCAACTCTGCTCCCAGCAGTTCCAGGGGACCACCCAGGAAAGTGGAGAGGAGGCGTACTGGGTGGGGCTCCAGTTTTTCCTGAAACCAGAGCATTGACCTGTTTATCTGCTTAACACTTTGAACTTCTCATTTAAATTGCAGCACCCTGCTCCCTAATTGCCAGAGGAGCTGGTAATGAGAACAAAGGAAGTGTGTTGTCCAGGCCCACAGCTGGTCAGCAACAGAAGAGGGAATGGAATGGAATGAAAAGGTGGGGCAGAAACTGAGGGATGTTGCCAGTATCCATTCTCCTTTTCTTTTTTAACAGCAGAACCCTTGATTTTTGTCGTGTGTTTGTTTCTCTGAGCCCATGGCCTTCCAAAATAAAGACTATTTTTCCCAGCCTCCCCTGCAGCTAGGCATAGATGGCCGTGTGACTACGCATGCTGTCAATGGGCTAGAAGTGGTGGTGTCAGAGGGAGCGTCTGAGTAACATGCTTAAAAGAAATTTCCTTACCCTTCCTTCTTCCTGCTGGCTGGATTTAGATGTGAAGACTGGAGCTCCAGCAACCACCTTGTGTCATGTGGTAGAAGTCATGCACGGAGGATAATAAAACAACACAGCAGGTGGAGCCCATTTCCCTGACACTGTGCACACTGAACCAATCCTGACATCCTGTCTCTAGACTTCGTTTATGTATGAGAGAGAGAGAAACTTCTATCTCATTTAAGCCACTGTTTCTATGGGTTTCCTCTCCTATGCAGCCAAATTTAACCTTCATCGATACAAAGAGAATTCTCCCCAAATCTGGATCAGATCACATGGCGGTTTGAAAATAAGTCTGCAAATCCCTTCATACTCCCTCCTCTTGAGTCACAGCAGATTTATAACTGCTTCAATCAGGAGAATATGGAAGAAGTGAAGCTCTGTGACCTCTCAGGCTAGATGTAAAAAGCCAGAAGCTTCCTCCTTGTTCATGGAGTCACTGTTCTTGGAGCTGCCAGGGAAGAAATTCGACCCTCCTGGGACCATTGTGCTGGAGAGAGCACAGGCAGACACCCCATCACCAGTGCCAGCTGAACCCGAGCTTCCACCAGCCTCACCAGCCCAGGCATCGGACAGGTTAGTAAAAAGGCCATTTGGGAAGTGGCCTCTCCCTAGTCATTTGGGTCACCTCAGCCACTCAAGTCATCTCAGTGGTGGCTCAGATATTATGGGACAGAGAAGAAAGGTGCCCTTTCCAAATTCCTAATCCGAGAATCTATGAACATATTAACATGATTGTTGTTTTACACTATGAAGTCCTGGAATGGTTCGTTATGTAGCAGTTGAAAACTGCAACAAATGTGTGATTTCAATCAACATGTTTCAACAGGAAATATTTATTGAGCATCTACTATGTGCCAGACCCCATGCTAGGGATTAGGCTCACTCTAATGAGCAAGTGTCAAAGATAAATTTGGACACTAGTTAAAGTGGCGAGCATAGATTTTAATCAGGGATATACAATTGCAATAAGAAAGAGGTTGTGACATGGACTGATTCACCTTTGATTTTTACAGGGTGACTGGGCATTTTATGTAGTCAGGGAAGTGAAAAATTACAAAGGGTTGGATGATGTAAATGCCACCCAGGCCAGCTGTGTCTGTCAGCTGGCAGTAATCCCAG